ACATAGGGCTTCAAGCTAGTGGCTTCAAGTTTCTGTAGCAGTGTTTATTTTACAGGATGGGGTTGCTAGCCTCATGCCCAACCTTTCCTCTTTACCAGCATTATTTCTGGCTTAGAGAGGTAAAGGAGTGCATCGGTCGGGGATCGAGCCCTGGACCATGGGCATGGTCGACGAGCGTTTTAACCACTATGCCACCAACGCACTACTAGGCATGTAATGTCACTTAACTGTCTCCTTAGTGTATGTTCAATTTAAGGCCCTTACCTTCCGCATATTTGTTGGGTAAAAGATTTACTGCCAAAGTACTTTATTGCTAGTCTGTTTTGGATGTTTCATCTTCAGTATGGAGGGAAGAAAACAGCCGCTGACTAGCGGCTTAAACTACAATACACCTTCATCTCAAAATTCTAAAGTTATGCGTTGAATTTCTTCTTCTTTATAGCTTTACTATTTACTTGTGGCACTTGTTGAAAACAAAAACATTTCCCAAAATATTTTGTACAAAAAGTGAAATAATGACAATTTCAGTGAACTTTAAACTTTTTCTTTGAAAGACAAAAATATTTTCTGGAAAAATCGTTACTAAAAGAATTTTAGAAACTTTTGTGTATCAAATTAGTAACGGACAATAAATTAGAAATCATACAAAAATTTATAAATTAAACAAACTGTGGTATAGAAACAAATGATTGATGAATATGAATATGAAGGCGAATATATGCCTATGCATTCGACTTTTACTTTCCATTGTTTTAATTATAATTGTAATGAAAATTATGACTGCAAGTTAATCGAGATTTCATTCATTGTAATAATTTTTCTGATTTCTTCCTATAAGTGTGATGTTGGCGTTGCCTTGTATTGCTTGCTTGCGTTAGGTGAAAATGGGGCATACCGAAGGAACAAATAGAGGGGTGGATGAACCAATTAATAAAAGAATCGGTGTCATTTTGTGTGTGTGTGTGGGGGGGGGTTGTTTCTATTGCTGCATTTTTTAAATCAAAGTTATAAATGACACTTTCATCACTGTGAATATATTTCATCTCCATTCAATTTAAATTAATGTTTACTCATTAGGCAGAGTACACCACTTGGATGATTATCTAAGTGTTTTAAGTATTGGTGGGTTTATGTTTCTCAGTTAAAGTGTGGGTGTTTGTGTGTGTAGATGGTTAAGTCATCAAAAGTTACCTTTATGAAAATTAGTGGTGAAAGTTTCATTACAGCAATTAATATTCATTTTAATGAGTTAGTTTCTCTAAAAAAAGGAAATTTTGTGTGTTTTAACATATTCTATAGTGTATTTCACCCTAATTAACTTGATAAATCGGTGTCAACTTTTAATAGAGTTTCAAGTAGAATAAAAATCTAATGAATAAAACATATAAAGGCCTTTTAATTATTCGTTTTTTCTTTCGTTCATATGCTGTAATTAATTTTGGCCATTATTTCGGTTTAGATTCTCCCATCGATTGATTGGACCGAAGTGCTCGGTCTCAGGTTGACATGTCGGCTCCTTGTGCAGATGCTTCTACGATGTCTAGTCATGTAACTTGAAGTCAACTGGTTGATGATGACTAGGGGTGGAATCCAGAATGCACACTTCGTCCCATTTGGGACTCGTCATCTGGATGTACCTGCATTCCTCAGTGGGTGATGGTGTCCCCACTGAGGCTCGAACCCAGTCCTCATAGTAGCCTCCGTGAGAACACCATCACTCACTGAGGAATGCAGGTACATCCAGATGACGAGTCCCAAATAGGACGAAGTGCACATTCTGGATTCCACTGCTAGTCATCACCAAACAATTGACTTCAAATTTTGCCCTTTGTTCACTTTACCCTGATATTCTCTACTAATTAATTTCTCCGGCTACTTTTTAAAATAAGATTTTGTATGACTTCATTCGGATTATTCTTATAGTCAGTGGTACTTCTCATTGGTAGTTAGAAGTGACTGATACCGATGTGTATGGATCTCTTGTAGAATCTGTGACAAGTAAATCCGATATCTGTCGTTTCAAAGGCTAAGTTTAGTGCAGTTACGTAACAATAGACCTTTTATTATGCTACTTCAGAGATTCGACCTTGAGTAAGTGAAAGGTAAAGTACACCGGGATCTTAATGTTCATAAAAAAAGTTCGGGCAATAGATTCTAGAAGGCATTTGGTACTTTAAAGCCACTTTTGCTAAGTTACCATTTATATTGTACACAACAGCAGAAGGCAAGACACGGAAGCCAATATATATATTTTCAAGTGATCAAACAGCTATTTATATATATACTGTTTATATTTTTCAACCGATCTACAAGCCTGTGACTTTCGCATGCACATTAAACGACAAAAAAACAACAACACAATGTTCAAATACACCTATAGTATTCTGTTGCTAACGCAGTATGGATCTGTGAGAATAGTATTCAGACGTTAACACCAATAAATACAATGTTTCTTACTGTGAGAATAATATACCGTTGGAACCCATTGTCTGTATCACACCATCACTATGTGAGTAATTTGTGTGACCCCACTTTCACGACTATCGACAAATCCACTCGACTACATAGTAATATTCATAGACATGTTAGAATTAGGATATATTACTAGACAGTCCTGGTAGCTGTGACTGCATTCCTCGAACTGTTATATCTTTTTACTTTTTCGATGCACAGTATCACCAGTTTGTTTCTGATTTCAATGGTTTTATTACGTAGGTTTCAGGGGCTTCAAACAGCTATATCTGTATTTTGAATAAAACATGTCGACATTTAGCTTCATACCTTCGTCAGTTAAGATGAAGTACGTTTGTGGTTCATTGGTGGAATAATCACCAACCACACACATGGTCCGGGTCCTGTAACTTCCTCGTCAACACATTCCTAATCCTCACCTAGTTTACTAGCCCACAGTAAGCGCGGTAAAAAAAATGTTTGTGAGTAAGGTTAGCAACCCCGCTCCTTTTAAAAGACATCACCACTATTACTGAAACCCAAAAGCTCAATTGTAGTGAAGCTTTATTTTCCCCTCGGAACAGAAAGGAATGAAAAGTAGTACTGTCGAAACACTTTAGGTCTCAGTGACCCGAATGGATAAAGTCTCTATTTTATTGATTTGTTTTTGTTTGTGTTTGTGAAATGCACCCCTTATTAAAGTATGAGTCATTAATGACTTACACGCACATAGGTATAGAGTTGAAAACAATTATAACTTCTACGATGACTAATGCTCAACTGTTACTAGGCTAGTAACAAAAAAGATATTTCATAGAAAGTTAAGTCTATATATTGTAGACACCACATCTTGATGACGTAACAACTAAGCAAGTTAGCAAAATAATATGTTGTTATTATTATTGATTATGTTGTTGTTGTTCCATTATCTATTCTGAGCCAAAATGTTTAGTTGCACTGATCCTAAGACTGTTTTAATTAAACCATATTAGTCATATTTGAGAGAAAGTAAAGTAACCTTTAGGTGTGAGGTCAGTGTGAATAGTGATGCCCATTGTTACTAATTATGTCTTTACAAGAATTTATTTCCCATGTGTGTTTTGTGCTCATCAAGATTTGGCAAGGATTTTTAAAATAGTTACCAATAGGATAGTTTGACTTGTAAAACTTGTAAGGCCGTTAGGTTTTAACCCAACTGCTATATGATCAGGTACTCAGTGATCTGACCGTTCTAGTCTCGATATTCATGGTGTGTACATAAATATGTGTGTCGGTGATACAACGGTAGAACTCTCACCGACCACGCATGTTGTCCGGGGTTCAATCCCCGGCCGACGAAGCACTCCTTTACCTTGCTAAGCCAGTAATAAAACTGGTAAAGAGGGTAGGTTGAGCATGAGGCTAGCAACCCCATCCCGTAAAAGTAAACGCCAATGCTACTGAAACTTCAAGCTTCTAGTCTGGGGCTCTATGTTCCACTGGGAACGTAAAGGAATAAAAAAAACATGTATATGCGTGCTCCATTAAAGTTTTAGACTACGACTATACGTCTGTTATGTACCCAACTGCTTCTAATCATTTCTTAAGGGATGTCAATTTTTGACGAAATCCACTGTTTACAAGGGTTTGCAAGTAGTTCATCGTTTATAGCTATGTGAATCTCATGAAATTGTAATAAACAACAGCGAATTCTTGAAGGGATTAATTTTGGGGGTAAGAATAAAACCCTGACAGTTATGTAGAGTTATTGTGGAACCCTCAAGCTGTACAATTGCACACTGGACTTTTGGCGTAGGGTAACCAAAATTTCTTTCCTTTCATTGTGTTGGGAATTTGAGCTTATCCATCATTCAGAAGGGCGAAATCACAAATGATTAGATCTTAGATCTTCGAAAGAGACAATTCTATACCCCAATTACACTATCGATAAATCGTTTACTGTATGATGGAGTTAAAAATGTGATAAATATCAACGCAGTACTGACAACCGGTTTAGTTATCATTGTTCTTTTGAGGAAGTGTTCAACTATTTGCTATTTTTCAAGTATTGGTTTTTGTAGGGATTTAGTTTGATTGGTTGGAGGACTTCATCATGAGCTGACATCAGTTAGAGAACCACTGGAAAACCACCTGGGAGTACTGGACAGCGGTATCGTCCAAGTTTGGGACTCTTCAGCGGTACGCACCCACCGGGGTTTGAGCCCAGGACCCTCTGGTTACAAGGCGAGCTCATAGCTATTTGTTCATGCTATAATAGATCATAAATAAATTGTCACCTGTTGTTATATGTAGTTCGGTTCGTATTAACGCTTTAAACTACACCTGTAATGCGAGACCTCATGAAACTGTATAGTTAGTTTCACAGACTTACACATTGGATCTATTAATATGACCAGTATTCAGTGTATATATATGTCATTGGATTTACTTCTAAACACCACGTCATCCCATTTACTTCTTGATTTTATAGTATTAAATATAAATTTCTTAAATATGATCAATTAATTACTTTTGTATTATTCTATCTTTATGATTGTCTTCAATTTTAGTTCCCCATACACTTCTGGAACAGACAGAAAACGTAGACGTGGAGTAAGTAATCGTTTTAGTGTAACTGTTTTCATGTACGACTGTTCATTATTATTATTACTTTTATTACAATATTATTCTCTCATGTTCCTTGTATAACATAGGACTTAAACAGGTCATCTCTGTATCATCCTGTTTTTGGCAGTCTTTTCAGCCGACCCCACGGTTGCCCGATAGGTTCTCATCTCCTCCAATGTCAACCTAAGGCCCATACCCAACTTGTTGTTTTCCGTTCATGTTCCACTCAAAGGCCTGGAGCATATTTGTTAAGTGATAGTTTCTTGGTTCACATTTGTCGCCAGACTTCCTTGTTTTTAGTTTTTTCTAGCCATCTGACCTTCAGTATGGAGCGAAGGTAACTGTTGATAAAAGTCTGAATCCGTATTTACAACTGTAGTTGGTTATTATGTGAATTCTTATCTTATGAATGACTTTTGTTTCATAAGGGCTAGTCTTTTCTGAATAGTATACTACAAACAAATTTTCGTGAACAGTGTATCTAGAGTACTGGTGAATTTATCATCTATAAATATGAGAGACACTGGTAATGTGGAGGTGTGATACAGACAATAGTTTCCAACGCAATATTATTCTCACAGTAAGAAACATTATATTTATTGGTGTTAACGTCTGAATACTATTCTCACAGTTCAATACTGCGTTAGCAACAGAATACTATAGGTGTATTTGAACATTGTGTTGTTGTTTTTTTGTCGTTTAATGTATATGCCAAAATCACAGGCTTGTAGATCGTTTGAAAAATATAAACAGTATAGATATGAATAGCTGTTTGATCACTTGAAAATATATCTTGGCTTCCGTGTCTTGCTTTCTGCTGTTAAAGTACTAACACTCAGTAAATTGAATGGCTTTCAATGAATTTTAACGAGTTGCTTAGTTCTATTGTTTCACTTACTGATTTTAATGAAGGCCCAACAATGGTTATTGTACTTACCATACACAAAAGAACAATCTGTGTTCTGAGATTAACTTACATGACGTCAATACTGATATTTAATTGTCTATGTGTAACCAATATAGTCTCAGTATTCTCACTACATCTCAAATAAAATTTAAGAGTTGGTTTGTAAGGATTAGATTTTTTTATGAGTTTGACCACGGATTGATATCAGTTAGAGAATCATTGAAAACTAGCTGGGAGTACTGAACACCTGTTTCGTCCTAATTTGGGACTCCTCATCAGTCAGCTCATGACGAAATCCTTCAACCAATCAAACAAAAATCCTTAAAAAAACCAGTACTTGAAAATTAATCTGATGTTCACTTACAACTGGCCCTATTCAGGCAGTTAACCTGGGGTTCTAGTGGGAAGCCGTGACCAGTATGGTGCAGCAGGTGGAAGGTGAGGCTGTAACTAGTCGAAGAAGACATTGCGAAGTGATCGCGCTATGTCGTGAATTGGCAGAAGTTGGAATTCATGGGCCATTGGACCGGGCCCACCTTGTAACCAGAAGGTCCTGAGTTTGAACCGTGTTGGTGGGTGCGTACCGCTGAAGAGTCACAGACTAGGGCGAAGCAGCTGTCCAGCACTCCTAGGTGGATTTTAATGGTCCTTTAAATGATGCCAGTTCATGATGAAATCCTCCAAACAAAAAAGTTTTTGGTCAGTGATTTCTGTGCATTTGTCGTCCAGAAACTTACTAGCCTTTATTCATTCATTGAATTTGCAGTCAGATTACATAAAGGGGTATAATTAGTGGCTTTTCAGTCACAAATTTCATGGGAATTGATTGAATTTAACTTATAGACATGAGAAATTGAAATCTATCCACCATAATGAGTGAATGTTTCCATGTATTTCATGTGGGATTTAATTATTCTATGTTTAATTTCTGTTGGGTCATTTGTACTCACTGCTAAAGAGTACCAAAGTATAGTACAAAACACCTGCCAAGTTCTTTCCACTCTCTAGTTATTCGGTCATCACTGTCAGAGAAAAATGTTTGATAAATAGTTACAAAGTTAATATAATTGTGTGTTTAGCAGAGCTGATTGTAAGAAAACAATGTTATTATACTCATCTTTCAAGAATTGGTTTGTAAGGATTAGATTTGTTTTTACGAGTTTGACCACAGATTGATATCAGTTAGAAAACCATTGAAAACCAGCTGGGAGTACTGGACAGCTGTTTCATCCTAGTTCAGGAATCATCGGCGGTACGCACCCACTGGATTTCCGGTTGCAAGGCAAGCTAGTATACCATTCAGCCACTGGGACCCAATTCAATGGCCAGTCCATGAATTCTAACTTCGACCAATTCGTGATTTAGCGCGACCACTAACCAACCAATGTCATCGGTGGGACTAATCTTTGCTTACAAAACTTCTCAAATACTTCAAATATATTAGAGTAACAAGAAAACAGAATTACTAAACAACAACAACTCATTTTGACTTGTGTCAATAAAAATAATATTGATAAGCTCAAGGACAGTGATCTGTTTGAAGTACTACAACTGATATAACAATAATAATGAATCATAAAAATGTTATAATTTAATAAAAATGAATGATCAGGAATCCTACACAGACAGATGGGAAGAATGACAAGATCAAACTGCCAGCTTATGTTATCAATAAAAATAAATAATATATATATATATATATATGTATATATATATATATATATATATATATATATGGTGGGTCAGTGATAAGAAATGACAAACAAGGTATTATACTGAAATATTTTCATTTTACAAGCCATCTTGAATAGAGTCATTTAAGAGGAGATTAGGACAGAGTCAACTTAGAATTTCCAACTGGATTTCATATTAACAATATTATGATAAAAATGATTATGAGGTATAAATAAAAGTGACAGACTGTCAGTTAGATAACAAGGTGAAAGTTTAGTAGCACTGTTTATCTCCATATTTTGTTAATGTAGACGGATATAAATTGAGGAGAAAAACAAAATGTTGTCAGCATAGGAACACAAGAAAGATGTTTTGTTTTAATTTGAGATTCCTCAGGAAGATGTTCTTTCTAAGCATGTCGATTTAGCCTAGGTACATCATCACCAGGTCTCATGATAAGCAAAATGAACATTCAATAGTTTTGAAGAGATATAACTGTAAATGAGTTTCATTACATCATATGCACTGATTTTTCATTGTATTAGTGGTGAGGACATTGTGAAGTGGTCATGCTATGTAATGAATTATCAGAAGTTAGAATTCGTGCACTGGCCATTGGATTGGGTCCCAGTGGCTTAATGATCATCTACAAGCTCACCTTGCAACCAGAAGGCCCTGGGTTCGACCCCCAATGGGTGCATACTGATGAAGAGTCCCAAACTAGGACGAAACAACTGTCCAGTACTCCCAGGTGGTTTTCCATGATTAGATCTGCCAAACAATCAAACAAAATCTCTACAAAACCAATATTTGTAGGGAATAATTAACCATTGATTTCGTTCAGCATAGATTTCACCCACTTTTTCAGGATCTTTGAGAGCTATAGACAATCTATGGTATCTTACTGAATTCTACTCAAAAAACCCAGTCAGTGGAACTAGACAGAAATCGTTTTTGCAGTGAAAATATTCTGGATAATCAGTTTGCTTATTATAATCAACTGTATTCAATCTTTAAACTATAGTAAGAACAATACGTATTTCACTTGAAATTAATGAAATAATTTTCTTATTTATTCTTTATATTCAGGTTATTGAAAAACGCAGACGTGATCGAATTAACTGCAGCCTGGCAGATCTTAAGCGTTTAGTACCAGATTCGAATTATAAACCGGTAAGTGACTAACTGGTTAACTGAGATTATTTTTCACCGAACCACTATTTCTCATGTTTTACAGGAGAAAAAAAAGTGGTATGAATCTATTTTGAAATAGTTATAATATACTTTTACATTTCATGTATACAATACCACAAATTCAAATTGTTAGAACTGGTTATCAATCTTGAATTAAGTGGATTAAAGTGAGAAAATGAAGTTTCTTAGTTGAAAATTCACACTAGTTTACACTAGTAGACTGTAGTTATGACATGAAGTGATGAAACCGCGTGAAGCTGTTTCATTCCGGTTGGTGGAGCCTTCTAGTTATTCACAGAGATACCATCCTGAGGGTGATTACTTGATTATTTCCTTGATGAGGTCTTCCTGTACGTGGCCAGATACTATAAGTAGTCATGCATTTCATACTTTTCACCTTGACGCTTTGCTGATTAACAGTAAACTACTAAGAGAGAGAGAGAGAGAGAGCAAGTATACTTGTTGTATCTAATCACTGGTGCGTCCGTGGCACAGCGGTAGAGTGCTCGCCGACCATGGATGTGGTCCGGGGTTCGATCCGCGGCCAACGCACTCCTTTACCTCGCTCACCCAGTAATAAGACTGGTAAAGAGGAAAGGTTGGGCAACCCCATCCTGTAAAAATGAACACTGCTACGTAAACTTCAAGTTGGGGGCTTGAAGTCCTATGTTCCACTGGGAACGTAAAGGAATAAAAAAATCTAATCACTGAGCTTCATATTTGCTAACTCTGTAAGCCTGAGGTTTCTCCAACAGTAAATCCACCAATACTGATTCCCACTGAGAAAAACATTCCAGAGTTCTTATCTTGAATTTTTAAATATTTTCGGTACGTGGCATGTCATTTTTAGCATATCACTATGTGTGTGTTGAATGCAATAAAAGATAAGAGAGTGATCATAAATCTCCTGCCTTAAAATGAATGAATCAGTGTCCATAGTTTATCAGTGTTCAACACCTTAGAAACAAAGTCTTCAGAAGGATCCTACTAACAAGGTATGCATGCGTGCAAGTGCGTGAGTGAGGTGTGTGTGTGTGTGTGCGTGCGTGCGGACAACAATGTCAGCTGAGACATGCCATCATCATTATTTTGCATAGATATTAGATAAGAAATTTCGCCTAAATTTTACCAACAATGGAATTTCCTTGATTAGTAGAAGCAGATTAGAAAACGGATCTGCTCTCACATTATGTTTATTGTTGTTGTTGTTGCTGTTTTTACTGATGTGATTGTTTATGTAAGGTGATAAACTAATAAGAAATTTAAGACAGAGGAAAAAGGAGATGAGAATGCTTCTTTGAATTTTCGTATTGTGTTGTGTTAGTTACTATGATGATAGATTATGCACTGTTTATTCATCATTACTTCACATAATCAGTTCATTGCAGGTTCATTTACAGGTTAAATAAATGTTTGTCAGAAGTTATGATGATGATGATGTTGATTATAGTGATCTATAGTTACCTTCTTATCTAATTTTTGATCCATTATCGTGTGTACACTTACTTGTAAATGATAGAAGTGAAATTCAAAAATGCGCCACAGCTACACCATGGATTGATTGGAAGGAAAAAGTTTTAAGTGAAAGTATCTAGTAACCTTGACAATAGAATTTACCACACACTTTTCTCATTTTTATCTCTAAGATTCTTTACATCGGAGATAATCCAATGTAATAGACTGAATCAGAGATTTAAACATTCTTCAGAGTTTTCGATCTTAATTAAGCTAAAGAGAATATTTGAATATTTTCTTTTGACAATGCGAACACCTTAAATGATTGCCTCTTAATTATCTGAGAATTAACACTATAATGTATTTCTTCTTTCGTGGCCAACAATGGAATAAGACAAGAGTATATTTTGAAGGGGATGGTGACTAACAGTGGAGTCCAGGATACACATTTCGTCCTACCTGAGACTCGTTATCTGGATGCACCTGCATTGCCGAGGGACTGATGGTGTTACTTCTGAATCTCAAACGCCAAGATAACATTCACTTGACCATCCGGGCCAAAAGGGCCACTTCTTGTGCAACAGGTGTCAGTTATTATAAAATAGTCACTATCCACCAAACTACTTCGAGTTGATCCTCAGACATCGTCGGAGCGTCCACACAAAGCTCTGACATGTCAACAGAATCAAACATTTCGGTGTAATCAATCATCCGGACAATTAAAATTAATATATAAATAAAAGTGCCTTTTGATTAATGATAAAAATGGCTTTCAATGGCTTTCAAAAAATACATTTGACACAATGTGAAATTCTCGGCATGTTGTACAATTTACCTAGTGTTTCACAGTAGGTTAGTAGTTTCATGCCTAAAACTTTTCTCATCACATTAAGTCCGTTCCAGTTAGGGTATCGTAAAGTTTTCCTAGGTAGTCGTCTGAGCATAAAGTCTTTTAATAATTGCTTCTAGACTTACCTGATGAGATGCAAGATGAGAGTTGTGTATAGAAAGGGTGCTCAGAGTTTGACAACATGATATTCGCCAACTTCTAGCATGAGTTCAAGTTTAACAACATCCCACTTGTCCTTGTGGCAGCTTTTAGTACTCTTCTCAGTGTAAAAAAGTATTTCTTAAGCAGTCCAGAGAAGATTAAGGGTTGGGGGTGGGGCATAAAAAAGAGGAGATAGAATACAAGAATTAACCAACTGTATTATTAGAGACTTCGTGGTACCAGATAGTCTTAACTTCCTTACGTAGACGGCTAAATGAAATATCTCTCTAGAAATTAACATGATGTAGAAAGATTAGGAAAGATGACAGAGAAGACATAATTCAAGGTATTTAACATTCGACTTTGTTTCAAATTCAGCGCTTTCATCGCTCACTATTACAAACTGGCGATGATTCCTAAAAGGTAAAATCGCTGTTTCAATTAGTATAAAACAGATGAAAGAAAAGAAAATAATGGGGATAATATTGTCTTATTCACTCCTGAAATTCATATGCAAACCAACGGATTTATTTAAAGGCCAAATATTCAAATAAGTGGCAAATAAACCTATTTCAAGAGAAGAGGTTTTCATAGCTCACTAGATAGTAGTGTCTTGTTATTTGGAGTGTGAATAGTTTGTTGGAGTCATAGTAGTGATGTGATACAAAAGCAGATTTTAAATACAGCTCATAACATAGTATTGCCCTACGGCGGAAAATGATATCTAAGAGATTCGAACAAAGGAAAATGTATTAATTGATTGGAAGGGTAAATATACTTAAGTAGTTACCAATATATGTTGTGAAGTACATATGTAGTAGACATATTCCACAGATCTTAGGATAAAAACCTTAAATATTCTTTTCACTGAAGGGATCAGAGAAATAGGTTTACTTTATTGAACTGATATCCATTCGTCGTATCGTTATTTCTGATGGAGTATGCATAAACTAAGGCAGATTACTCAATCCTGATTAGTGGCATACTAAACACTCAAAATATCCATCAGAACCAAAGTATATGTCCTTCAGATTGCTTTCGGACGATATCCCTACTAATCTACTGAGCGGAGCGACCTTACTGTCTGACAGTTTTGGCCACATTTACTAAATAGAGTTATGCTGATGTTTAACACCTAAATTTACAGTTTAAACATTTTAATGAGAAGTTCGTTTCACCTTCCACAATAAATTATCAATCTTTATCTACTAATTAGCAAATACCATTCTATATGCATACGAAAAAAGATTCACCAGAAGATTCCTAAATCGCCTAAGAGTTACTGAAATGCAATGAGAACTGAGGTGTTACTTGACAAGTAACTCCGATTTCATGCAGTTGACAATGAACCACACCTATTAGATTGCGTGAGGGCTAGGGATACAACTTGGCTGACCAAACCCTAGTAGATGGCGAGATTTTCGGAATCCGTGATCGACTGGTTGGAAGTTAAGCGCCTAGATGAATGAGTTACAACTCGGGTTCATTAACTCAGTAACATTCCATCTCATAATGATTGTACATGTATTCTTGAGAGTAATCACGAATTTGGTAGTTCAGAAATTTGTCAATAAAACCAGTGACCAGTACGACAATAAGGCATCATTCAAGATAAACATACTGCTAAATTTATAGATTTGATTACACGTTAAGTGATCCATAACGGAAAACTCAGCGAGGTGTTTGGATTAAACACAGGAATCAAACAAGGGTGCTTATTATCACCAATGATATTCCTAATTGTGGTGAACTGGATTATGCGTCAGACAGTGGGAAACGAGAAGACAGAGATATCCTGGACCGACGTGAAGAACCTAGATGACCTGGATTTCGCGCGTGGATGATTTATGTTTGATGTCACACAAAATCGGAGAATTACAAGCGAAAACCGACAAACTGGTCGAAGAAGCAGCAAACACAGGACTGACTCCAGGTGAACATAGACAAGATGGAGGTTATGAAAATAACCAACCAACCAACAACAACAACAGCATCAGCAACATTCAGCGCCAATTACCATCAACAGGAGGGATTTGAAAGAGGTTACTTCATTCACTCACTTATCTAGGGAGCATTGTCTCAACTACAGGAGGAACGGACAAGGATGTCAAATCGAGAATCGGGAAGGCGAAAAACACATTCATCAACCTGAAACCAATCTGGAAATCTTCGTCACTCAGCATCAACAACAAAATTCGGATTTTCAATACAAACGACGTCAAGTCAGTCAGTTCTTCTATACGGACCAGAAACTTGGCCATTGTGTCACAAAGAATATTTCCAACAGCCTGTTGCAGACCCTTATCAACAACTGTCTTCGCTCTATACTGAAGATCAGATGGCCGGAAAGAACAAGAACCAACAAGAAACTATGGGAACAAACAAAACAAGAACCAATCGCCGAACAAATATGCAGGAGAAAGTGGAGATGGATTGGACACTCGCTGAGCTGAGGAGGCTGTTGGGTGATAACGCGCGTCAGGCCATAGCTCGAGTGGAACCCGAAAGGGAAGTGGTGAGTGGGACGTCCAAGTGTGACATGGAGGAGATAGTGTGAGGAGGAGTTGGAACAGTATGGGCTGACATGGATGCAGGTGAAAAGTACAGCAGAAGACAGAGGCAAGTGGAGGCGTGCAGTTGAAGCGCTATGTTCCACTAGGAACCCAAGGGAACAACAACAACAACAACTTGAAGTCAGTAGTGGAAATGCTGTATGTTTAGGAACTAATTCATCATTCAGCTTTTGGATAGTTAGCTAAATACACATGGAAAATATTCCAATACATTAAACGTCTTCTACACCATTAATAATAATAATAATAATAATAATAATACTAATAGCAATCACCTGACATTCTACGTCAACTAAAATCAACCATCAATAAAAAAGAATGTGTATTTATTATCACGTACACAATTTTTCTGCATAGAACTCATTCAGAACTAATAATAATGATTAATGTGAAAGGTATGTTGTTTGCATAAAACAGTATTGACAATTTATAATAGTAATAATAATCTGTATGAAAGTACACCTGCTCATCATGGTAGCGCGTTTAGAGTAAGTAAAGTAGGTCATTACAATTGAGCAGCTGGTCTGGGGGGTAATATGTGTATGTAACTAAGACATATTTTATATGTTAAGTCTTTTTTTCTTCTTTTTCTCTGTCTCCTATACCAAAGTCTGCATTTACTCTTCAATATTATTATCCAGAGGTTGGTTAAACAAGAACTTTTATGATCATATAAGCTTAGATTAAATATTTCTCTCCTTTACTTAGTTTATGAGCAGACATATTGTGTCTTGGCTTTCTCACACCTTTTAAGCATAGGCATGAGAAGCGAAATGCTCACACATACACACAACATGTATGGACTCATTTGTATTCTGTCTTATTAACATTCCTGGGGGATGAATTTCTTCTACATAGGATAAGAATGAGAAGAAGGTGGGTGGGGGAAGGAGGGAGGAAATAAAATTTAATATGGCTGTTAGAGGAATAGGAAAATGAAGGGATAAATAGGTATGAATTCGAAGGAGAAATATAACGTCATCGTAGTAGGAAAATAAATTGCTCGCTCAAAAACCAGATGAAGGCCTTGTTTTCGAGTTTAACCAATTAAACTTTGTCTTGACATTTGTATGTGTGAATGTGTGTGTGAAGATGAGACAGTGGGGTAGGGTAGAAGGAACTACGTAGACATATAACTAATAGGGTTGAATATTTACTTATCTAGTTATGTCTTTTTTCTTACTCGAGTTTTACATTTATCAGTTCCTAATTAGAGTATGAAAAGCCACCTGCAAGACGTGTAAACAATCTTTCAGTTGAAAAGTTGAACTTTGATCTGTAATCTAGGTTTTTAATAAATTTTCTCAACCTTCTAGTTTTTATAATACTTTCAAATTATACGAAGGCTTTTAAACTTTACCTTCGAAAAATTCTATAGAACTGACTGTTTGTATGTGTAAATGCATTTCATGAGTTAACATACAACTTTTGATTATTAGACTTTTCAGCTTCCTGAGGTTAGGTAGTAGGATAGCAGAACTAGTTCCTTCATATAAATCATGAGTCATCAGTTATTGTATTCGCTTACCATTCATCAGTCTTTCAGGAGGTGGAATGAGTGATTATGTTTCATGTCCAAGAAGCTAAAACTTCTCATAGGAGGGAATTGGTTAGACATTTAGCTTCTATTTAAACAACTTATAAAGTAAGATTTCACCTAGTAATCATGGTGGTAAAAGTTGAACATTAGCGAGTATCAGCGTTACATTATCTGTAAGAATACCAACTGAATCCACAGTATCCAGCGTGACTTAATTGTATGACAAAAACAGACATGCTGTTAGTGGTAATAGTAGTATTATTAATAGGCTTGATTTATTTTAATTCACCTAAATTTGCTTAAGTGACTGTTGGAATCATTAGGTCTGGAAATATTCGTTATGATGGAACCGATCATCCCATCGTTATTTAAAAAAAATATTTGATTCCTTTACGTTCCAGTGGAACATAGGGCTTCAAGCAAGAGTTTTGAAGTTTCGGTAGCAGTGGTGTTTACTTTTACGGGATGCGGTTGCTAGCCTCATGTTCAACTTTCCCTCTTTACCAGTCTTATTACTGGCTTAGCGAGGTAAACGAGTGCCTCGCCGGCCGGGGATCGAACCCCGGACCACGTGTGGCGTGGTTAGCGAGCATTTTACCGCTATGCCGCCGACGTATATCACCATGAATAGCAGATTTTTTCTATGGGTGTTTTCTTTGATTTTAACTCAGTGTTAGTTGGTATTGGTTGACAGACGATTCTAGCTCCGGTATCATATCGTATGTGAAAATTGTTATACAGACTCTCATTTTGGATTTCCTAGTGAGATTCAATTTTAGGACAAATAGCCATATACGACACAGCGTTATCCACCATGTGGCTGTTGTTGCCGCGTTTATCCTCACTTTGTATGTCAGAATTGAGGTTTTTCATGACTGATTTCGAGGACCTTTCGAAATAATCTAGACATATGTTTCGGGATTACCGTGGGACCTTTAGTTCATTCTCTGCCTTCCTAGTGGAACACAGGACTTCAGGCTTTGAAGATCTACTAGCAGTGATGTTGCTTTTTACTGCATTAGGCTGCTAGGATGACTCCTAACTTTCTGTTTTTTCCAAGACTTACTGTCTGCTATTTAACTAGTCGAGGTTTAGAAGCGTGTTGACCGGGAACCAAACTCACACCTTCTGGCTGGCTGGCAAACATTCTATCAATGAACCGCCAACACACATAAAAGCTACCACCACATATTATATAAATTGGGAATGGGATGTAATATATATGAATTATCTACCAGATAGTAAACTATGCAACTTACAAATCTTTGAACTCGACTGAAGTTTTTTGATCAGGTTTGCAATTTTGTCATTATGATGAACATAGCTGAAACGGTGAAGTTTGAGGAGTTCTCCAGTGAGATATCCAGTACCTTAACGTCTACTACTCTGACTGTGGGTAACGTAAGTTTCAGTCTATAGAAAAACATGCATTTCTTCAAGGTTGTTTACACTTATTGATGATGATTTCAAGAGAGGAAGAAAAACAGATGAAACGGCTTAATAGTGATTCCCCTCTGGTAGATAGCACTACCTTGATATCTGCAGCAATAAGAGTCAAAATTCTTGTTTTTAATTGAAAAATGTTTATAACTTGAGTTTATTGACGCGATAATTCTTAGTAATTCTGGATGGCCTATTAGTAAAGTTCTCATGTTTTATTTTATAGGGTTCAGCTAAATTAGAAAAAGCTGAAATACTCCAGTTGACTGTTGAATTCCTACAGAAACTTCATAAAGATGGTGAGTAAAATTAAAAACTTTTTTCCGTAGTATTTATCTGTGTGCTAATAACTTCTTTGACGTATTTGGAGGAGGATAGTAGAAAAAAGACAGCAAATGGATAGCTGTTCTAAGTATTGTGTAATTAACTGTAAAATTATTAGTGTATTCGAGGGAAGGATTGACAAAGTATAACGACCCTAGCGAACGACCAGCCAAATGACTTTGAACAATCAGTCAAATGTGCTTCACCGTAAAAGGAGTAAACATGGATGAAGTGTAAATCTCACCCTCATCTTGTATTTCAATACTGTTTGCATAATAGGCTTTTAGGAAGGACTGAAACATGCCAATGTGAAGGGACTAATGGCTTTACAGAAATATGCAGATATCATTAATGGATATGCATATAGATGTCCTGTAAATCATTCCCACGATTTTGTTAATCTGTGGATGGGAAACACATCAGTGTCATGGATGAATTCTGGGGGCATTTGGAAAGCAATTCGGGCGATAAATAGGTCAAGGAATGATAGAATATACCATCATCTCTATGAAGTCATGTACAGAAACTGGTGTGGACTAACATTGGGAGATGTTTCGAGGACATACAAAATATTGCCATCCCGTATAATTATTTTGTACTACTTATTTTGGTTTTCTATAAAATTTTCCCATTCAAATAACACCTCCAAGATCATTTCGTTAGTAGTTCTCTTGGGTCACTAATAATTTAGCCTAGTCGGAAGAAGTTATTGTCAATTGGCTGACATTCATGCTCGATGCAAATCGTAAACAAATGACATTGTTCTATATTCTTAACATTAAGTGAATTTTAGGTTTATTTTGTATATTTTACCTCCAAATCACCCAATGAATAAGCCATTTAGTAAGTATTTCTATAGGGTTGGAGAATGTAATTCTTTTGACAGATGACACGTCAATAACATCGTTTTATCATCTCAGTGTTGTACAATAACATAAAACAGAATCATTCTTGTCAAAGTTATGAAGTCAAATAGTGTAGTCTGAGGTTTTAAGTGCCTCTTCTTTCAAATTTAGTGTTTAGATAACAATAAGTGTAATAAAAGTATAAGATGAAGTTGCATTTTTAGCCTGACAGTTTATAGTAGAGATACGGTTAATTGGCTTCACTTACCTCAGTGTAGACAGATGGATAGTAAGTGTAAATGCAGCTCATATCCCTCTGCATGGGAAATCTGTTCCGGCTGGCTTGTAAGATTTGCTAAACTAACCTGTATCAGTCAAAAAAATAATGCACAGTTACATTAAGATTAATCGTAGCTCTATAAATAAGGGAAATTTTGGTTGGACTCTAGTAACTAGTTTGATGTGTCTAGTCCCTTCTTTGGTGCACACTGAATTCTAACAGTCAGATTTGCAATATGGCCACCATTCTAGGTAGCTCGCCAACACGGTGCACTTTGAATTGTTGATACCAGATGGTTACAGGCCACCTTTAGTAACTAGTGTCCAATCAAGGTATCCAGTTCAGTCCTACAGGAGGTCAATTGCGAGCACGAATAGCTCAGTGGTAACATCTCTGACCGCGTCGGTGGCACAGTGGTTAGGACTCTCGCCCACCATGCACATGGTCCGGGGTTCGATCCCCTGCCGACGTACACCCGATATCTATGGTCGGCCTGTAAAATTTGGGCTACCGATATCCATGCTGAAAATTCCATACTTGTACGGAAAATACGGTGCGGCATCAAGCTGTAATCAAAAATAAAAAAATAAAATAACTGGTCGGTGTGGGGTTGAATCTCAGAAGGGACATGAGTTCCTTCAAGACTGCAGATACGCCTTGCTGACTGATGAGTGCCGACTGGCACGAAACCTAGGTTAAGCAAGGCTTCCTGTGGTCGATTGCCTCCAACCATCTAAAACAAGGGAAATGCTGATAAGGTTGATTTTCTCTTTTGCATTCGAATTTCATGGCAATCATCAGACTGTAGCGAATTAAGGTTGAAAATTAGTTAAGTGTCATTAATTTTCCATAAAGGTTTTTAGCATCTACAAGTATACTTATTTCCGTTTACTGTGTGTACGTTTATTATTTCTCTATTCAAAAGGTCATGTACTCGGCTCAGAAGCACGAGCTGTTGAACTACGTCGCATCGGATTTAAAGATTGTCTACTAGAAGTAACACGATTATTATCAACATACGATGGTGTAAATATCTCTGGTCAAGAGTTAACTCGACACCTACTAAGTCATCTTTATCAATGTGAAAAACAAAGAGACACAGAGGCAAAAACTTATTTAGCTAATATTGCTGCTGTAGCAAATTCTTTAAATCAAACGTCTACAAAGAATACACACTACCCTCATCAACAATATTATCACAGTCTTCAGGGGAATTATATCTCAAACGAGTTGAATAACTCAAATGCCACAAAATCAAAATCCGCTAAAATCAATTCAAGCGCTTGTGAACACTTGGAAAAGTTAAACAAACTACCGACAACAGATGCCTCTCTGAATCCTTCACAAATTAAATTATCGCATCAGACCTATCCATATACTAACTCATCATCAACATCATCATCATTCTACACCAATGGTGGTAATGCCTACACACCATATCATCATTATACAGACTATCATATACTTGGACAACAAAATCCATTCAAGCATACACCGAAAGCGGAGGAGGAGAAAGGAGCTGATCAATTATCCAACTTTTATTTTCAATCAGATTCACTTTATCCTAACTATGATGTTTATGCAGAACAGTGGAATAAACATTTAGCATATCTTCTTCTTGTCCTTCTTCTGCCTATTCATCATCCACTACGACCACAACAACTGCTGCAACATCTACACTGTCTGATACTCTCACAACAAACTATGCGAACAATAATTTTAATCCCCTGTCCAATTCAACATCCGTTTCTTTCAGTAATCCAGTATATCCTACAGGTATGGGTCCAAATGAAAGTCAATCGACTTCATCACCACCGTTTCGTTCAACACCGGATGATTCAGATATTGGTTTTAGTCCACATTTAAAAAATAATCTATCCGGAGTTATTGGTAATGATGAAATTGAAGAGGAATGTGGTTATTATACTCGTGAATGTACTGGCCACATGACAGTAACACTGACATCGTCGACAACAACAATGACTACACCTTCAGCAGCAAAAACACTGTCTGCAGGAAATTATCAAGAGTCCAACTATCTTAATAATAATTATGATTATACTTATCCTAGAAAGAATGATGTTTGCATGAATTTATCAGCTGATTATCATCCATGTTCTCCTGTGAAGTCGAATTCAATTCCTATGCATACCGGTGATGTATATCCGAGACATTTAACAAATACCTACAATAGTAACAATAGCAATAATAACATTGACATGCTGTATCCAAGTTACACGAATGAATCATGGCGTCAGATTAATACAACAACAGACTTAGTACAGCATAAAGATTATGCATTTCATTCACATCTACCATCAGCTGCATTACAGATGCATGTACATAGAAACCCATCTACTGAATCTTATTCAGCAAATACCCTGAATGTCGACATTACACCTGTTACTGCTAACACTATTCTGGAGGGTACTTGTGATAAAAAAATGTTAGCAGAGTAAGAAAAGAATTAAGGATCAGTTTTCTGATGATCAGATCTTAGGCTACATATATGTATATTTCCTGAAAGAGACTTCACAGTTATGATTCATTCACACAACAAGGAAACGTGCAGAATATTACGCAACCCCCGCCTCCCCATTGTATAGTCATTTCATGTGAATTTTCTTTGTTTTTAAGACAAAAAACAAACACTACTCACCTTTCTTACTATTAATATAATTATTACTTTCGGTATTGTTAATTTCCAGAAATGACATACTCGAAATTATATTGTAAATTACCAAAGAATTTCATTGATATATATATAGCACATGCATGCATCTACTTTTCATAATGAATTCGCTTTTATTTGTGTAGAAATCATGTTCATGTACATATATATGTGTGGGGTCTCACAACCTCAATGTACATTAGCTTCTTTTGATATGAATTGTTTCAGCTAAATTTCTCTTTTATTTGTGAACTATTGAAATTTTGAGTTTTCCAGTGGATGACCTTTTTGTAAGTGAGGCAAAAAGCTCCTAGTACGGACACCTGGACAGTGTCTTGAAGTAAAATCGATGTTAATTGGTTAGTAGTGGTTAGCGATGGAGACTGCAAAATAATTTTGATAACTGACAAGTGACTCTTGTTGTACAAGATTTGACTTTCATGATTCAATAGTAGTCTAATGAATAGGGTTTTGGTATTTGAAACGCCGGGTGACGGGATCGACTTTCGGTAGAAATAGCATCTTTCACGGGGATGCGGCTACATCCGGCTTACACCTTGCGAAAAGGATTAAATGCTCGTTAGATAATATTAACCAAATAATATCAAAAGAGTATGTGTAATTGAATTTTAGATTTTCCCGTCGATTGATTGGACTGAAGCACTCGGTCTCAGGTTGACATGTCGCCTTCTTGAGCAGATGCTTCGACGATGTCTGGGCATTTAATTAGTATTTAATTGGTGGATGGTGACTAGCAGTGGAATCGAGGATGCGCGTCTCGTCCTATCTGGGACTCTTCAGTCATTCACACAACTTTTTTACTTCATTTATATACATGAGTAAACATTGATGACTAGACATCTGAATAAAATCAATATAAGATAATGTACATTGAGAAATAATAATAATATGAGTGTTATTGATCAATTACAGTCAGATGGGAAATAAGACGAGTGTTTTTATAGTCGAAATAAGTAACTTGTTAGAATGTTGTGATGTATGTGAATTGAAATAGAATTTTGAGATTATTGATTATCCTCCTCTGATTCGACCGACTAGTGGTAATAATATCTTACATATTTCTGGTATTTGCATTGAGTCATTTCTGTTGCATGTGTTGGGTGTAGACTCAATGAACCAGGATTCGATAATCAATCTCTCTCTCCACCTACATAGATTACTTCTTAGAATTCTAACCCTCTCCCACCCTATTGTGTGGTTGTGTATTAATGCATGCAGTGCAATTGCTGAGCTTTTTTCTAAATTACTTTTCTTCTCGGGGTCAACCATTCTTCGCTTAGCTAAATTGTTATGTTCTGACAGTCTGACTACCCTCAACCTACTAGTTTGACCTATGTAGATGATTTCACAGTCATTGGAGGGTATTTTGTAAATTACATTATTTTGTTTTATTGGGTCCACCGGGTCTTTTAGCCCACAGAGTTTGTCTCTGAGTGATTTTGTAGGTTTGAATGCCACCTTAATTCCTGATTTGTTCAGGATGGTACGTAGGGTCTCAGATGTTCCCTCCTTATATGGTGTAACAGTAGATGCCTTATATTCTCTACACCCAACATATCTAACAGAAATGACTCAATGCAAATACCAGAAATATGTAAGATATTATTACCACTAGTCGGTCGAATCAGAGGAGGATAATCAATAATCTCAAAATTCTATTTCAATTCACATACATCATAACATTCTAACAAGTTACTTATTTTGACTATAAAAACACTCGTCTTATTTCCCATCTAATAGTAATTGATCAATAACATTCATATTATTATTTCTGAATGTACACTATCCTATATTGATTTTATTCAGATGTCTAATCATCAATGTTTACTCATGTATATGAATGAAGTAAAGGAGTTGTGTGAGCGACTTGATATGATTATGAGTGGCAATAAATTGTGCTCGAGACGTGGTCATCAGTTAATATTACTGTATAAGAACACTGTGTGATTTATCAAAATAAATCTTATCCATAATGGAGAAATCCATACTCTTGAAAAGGTCGGAACTTAAAATAATTTGTAATATTGATGAAATGCTAATCCAGTAGTACGAATGACCTAACTAATAGAAACTTGATCTTCCATGATAATAATAATAGCTACTATCCTTTAGCAATAGAAATTGTTCTTCTCAATAATATATGAGCCTACTGATACCCCAGTACTGAAGTTGGGAACATGACTAGTTAATCGCTAGAATAACTATTCTCTAAGTAAGAAAAATGTACTGATTTCAGTTACTAGAATGCAGAGACAGAGTTTACACGTAGATAAAGCGTATAGCAACAATGGTGTATCTTTCAAATAAGCAAGTACAAATATGTCGGGGGATGAATGAAATTTCAAAACTTCAATTTTCGTATGCTATAAAAATTTTAAGTGATTATTCAAAAGCTTGAAACCTACCTTTTTACATTCCATACACTTTTTTCATTTCGTATAACGATACATAATGGAATTGTCACTGAACACTCTTGAAAAGTCTCAGACTCAGATGAAAGACCTTCTCACTGTTCTTCGGGATCCAACAATGTCCTAACTGATGTCAGTAAGTAATGAGTCTGTCCTAAGATCAGGCGTATCCCCACAGTCTCATCATTTGAAATGAAGAGATCTCGTTAAGCACAAAGGACAGCTCCAGCAATTACAGATTTGAACACCACGTCAATTTCATCTAAGATCCGAATAGGATTATTCAAAAAATATACACATATGGAAGTAGGAACGAGGATTAATAGATAGATAAACAGTCATGGTTTAGTACGAAAATAATACGCAGTACACCATACTTAATGATTCTCAATCCAGTGTGCTTATTATTGCCCATTGGAATACCTACTGACTCACCATAGAGAGGTTTTCATTTAGATATTCGCAGCCAGTTAGCAGTAAATCAGGAGACTAGTTTTATGGCTAGCTAACAGTTACATGTTTACAACAGACTTAGAGCAGTAATGTAACACCTGAGAGAGTTGTTACTTATCATCAAGAGAGTAGTTTATTTCAAAACACATAAAGAATAATTCTTTTGCAAATATAGATTTTGATTGTAAAGTTTAATGACCAGGAAGAATGAGCAAAAGGGGACCTTTGGCAGCAAACGAGTCAGCAATCTGTTGGTCGATAAATATGGGGGTTGATTGGACTTACTCAGGGAAGACCTTCAAGTGATGTCACACTCACGACAGGCCCTTGAGTGGGACCCGAATGGGAAGCAACGAGTTGGGTTCGGGTCCCAGGATGACAAGGAGGAGATCATGTAAATGAGAAATAGAATTCTGTGGCCAGTGGAGATCTGTCACTGAAGCTCTATGTTTTACTTTGAAAGCAATTAATGAATAATGACTGTCATAATTTTCAAGGCTCAAATTAAATGTATGTGACTTGTTTCAAGTTTGTTCACAGATTAATGTCAGTTAGAGACCAGCGACGCCCACCAAGTTGGATGTAAAGAGAGATAATCGCGAGTAACATTGACCGCTGGTCACGCTAAAACCACGAATTGGTATAAATTGGAATTAATCGGCCTTTAGAATAGGGACTCAGTAGCTGAGTGGTCTATGAGTTTGCTTTATGACTGGAACGTCTTGGGTTCAAACTCCAGTGGATCAGCACTGCGCAAGAATCGAAAACTGGCTACAGGAGGAGATTTCTTGAATAAGGCAAAAATAGAATACACTGATTTTGGTTTGGAAAGTTTCCTCTGAATGAAAATTTCAGGAAAGACAAAAGAAGTTGGAAAAAAATGTTAAAAGATGACATTGTTTGCTGAGTTATTGAAGCATAGGAACATATCACAAATCAAGAGAATTTGGGTTGAAATATTACACGGATTTAATGTGAAAGCCCATTAAAAGATCTAAGTAAACCAGTAGACGATATCAGGATAAAGGAAAGTTGAGTATACTTTTTTTCTAACTACTAAGGTTTGTTCAGAGATATTTGATTATAAGATCTTCCGCTAAAATTGTATATTGAAAACCGCTCACTGCTCTTATGCGTATATTAATTCATTTGACTCTGAAACGATTATTGCATAGACAATAAGTGATGTTGCTTCTTCGCACAGACATACATACTGAAAAGTGTATAAAAAACCTACAGGACACAACTGCCTTTGATACTTTTCCTGTACAGATATATCTTATTTGACAATTCAGGTGGCTAATTATAATAAGTGAAAATACACTGACTAGAGAATGAACACCTTAAATGACGAGGTAGCTGGATGAATTCATTCCAGCATCAGAAAAAAATGGATGAGAAGATGAAATGGAACTGATTGGTCAAAACTAATCTGTAAGACATTTTACAGAAAGTTGAAAAGGCTATTGTCTACAAAGCTTCTGTCACTGAGTACATGTATACAAGCATTATGAATGGCTTTACTACTCATGGTTCATGGAAATTCCCATCTATATGAGTATATTTATTAATCGACTTTTCATTTTTAGGCCAGTACCCAAAAAATACGTTGTAAAAGCGTTTGATCCAAGCATTTCATTTTCTCTCCATGTTTTGAATTACTACTGTAGTCAGACGCTATTATTTGATGTTTCATATAACCGCGATGAAATTTAGGGGTATTACTCATCGAAATGTAAACAGTATCTGTCTCTGTCGAGTGGTACCAACTATAAATGAAGTGATATCGATGACTTAAGTAAAACCTTGATTGTTTCAAAATCTACTACGATTTATATATATGGTGAAACAATACTCATACAATACTGAAATTGGGTTTCATACTTTTAAAATGAAAGTCCTGTTGAAATTACTTAGCTCCCAAAGAACTCTCCAAGTTAATAAATATTTAGACATCATGAGTAGTCATATTCTGGGATGAGTTATCAACGTCCTAATAAAAACTCTAGTTGATTCAATCAATCTACTGACTACTGAGTAGTCAGTGTGTACTATCAAAAAAAAACTTGGAACAACCATTCAGTGTTTCC